TGATTGCTCATACATTCATAGCATGTATAAATATACTGAAACTTTAATTTCATTTATAATTGGGAGCAGCATGGGGATGGGAGGTAGAAGAGAAGGGAATGATCTCTTGAAGCGCCTGTGCCCCCAGGTGAAAAACTTCTGCTCCAGACAAGAGTAAGATGAAATCCATTCATTCAACAAATTGTTGAGCTCCAACTTTGCCAGGTATGGCATGACATAGCAGTGAACAACACAATGATTCTTCCCTTAAGGAGTGAGGGGAAATAAGCAAAAACCAAGTGCTAGAGACAAATTAACACAGGGTAGTGAGGTGGAGAATGGGCAGACAGGCACAGTGGCGGTCAGGAAAGGGCTCTAACCAGATGACATTTGAGTGGAGCTTTGTGACTCTGGGAGAAGAATGTTCTAAGCCAAAGGGCCAGCCAAGGCAAGAATGCTGAGACAGAAATAAGCCTGGTCTATTTGAGGCCAGTATGTATAAACAGCAGAAACAAGGCCAGTCTGTCTGGACTGCAGCGGACGTGGGGGAAGAAGTTTGGTCTGAGCTCAAGTTGACAGGAGTCAGACCACTTCGGGAAAGAAGACATTTGAGAGTTGTTTTTGTGTGTTTGTTGTTTTAGAGGTGGGGTCATAGGTCACTGCAGCTTCAAACTCCTAGACTCAAGAGATCCTCCTACCTCAGCCAACCTGGCTATTTTAATTTTTGTGTAGAGATGGCGCCTCACTGCATTGCCTAGTCTGGTCTCCAACTCCTTCGCTCAAGTAATCCTGCTGCCTCAGCCTTCCAAAGTGCTGGGATTACAGGCATGAGCCATTGCCCTTGGCCCACATGAGGGTTTTAACCAGAGGTACGACGAATCAGTTTTATGTTTTAAGTTTAGAAAGATCTGCTGTATAGGAAAGCAGACGGTAGGGGGAGGAATTTGACAGGATACAGTGTGTGGAAAGCCTCCCTGAGTCTAAATTTTTGGCCCAAGCAACTTGAATGCCAGTACTGTTTACCTTGGTACCTTACCTGGGGGACAATCAACTGTGTTATATATTGATTGCCACCATTTTCTCCTGTTCCAAAATGATCCAAACAACAATAACCACAGGCAGGAAGTGACAGCAGCTTTGGGGCTCTCAATTCTTTTTTTTTTTTTTTCCTTTCTTTCTTTTTTGACACAGGATCTTGCTCTGTTGCCCAGGCTGGAGTGCAGTGGTGCCACCTCGGTTCATTGCAACCTCCACCTCCAAGGTTCAAGATATGCTCCTGTCTCAGCCTCCTGAGTAGCTGGGATTACAAGCCTGTGTCACCACACCCAGCTAATTTTTGTATTTTTAGTAGAAACAGGGTTTCACCATGTTGGTCAGGCTGGTCTCTAACTCCTGGCCTCAAGTGATCCACCCATCTCAGCCTCCCAAAGTGCTGGGATTACAGACATGAGCTACTGCGCCCAGCCTGGGACTCCCAATTCTTATCACAATTTTCTTTTCTTTTTTTTTTTTTAAGACAGAGTCTCGCTCTGTCGCCCAGACAGGAGTGCAATGGCCTGATCTCACCTCACTGCAATCTCTGCCTCCCGAGTTCAAGCTATTCTCCTGCCTCAGCCTCCCGAGTAGCTGGAATTACAGGTGCCCACCACCACACACAGTTATTTTTTGTATTTTTAGTAGAGACGGGTTTTCACCATGTTGGCCAGGCTGGTCTTGAACTCCTGACCTCATGATCCACCCACCTCAACCTCCCAAAGTCCTGGGATTACAGACATGAGCCACTGTCTTATCACAGTTTTCATAATGGATTGTGCTGGGAAGACCAAAGGGATGAAGTACCATTGAGGGGTTTGCCTACACAATGCCTGTAAAAAGAAGTCGGGGAAAAACGATGGTTTTTCACACTACCCAAACAATGGCCTGAATATCGACCTGTAAATCTACACTTACCAGTCAGCAGAACTTTCATGAGCATTTTTTTTACATGTATCCAAAGAAATTGTTAATTGATATCAGGCCATTTTTGGTAGGATGTTGATTTGGGCCATGTTTTGCTAATTACAAAAAATTATATATTTTATCTGGACTTGGTAATTTTTTTAGATCACAAGACTGTGGGAGGGAGGGATCATTCCAAAGTAGTATAATCAAAACTAAATGTACTCATAGAAAGATATGAGGCCGGGCATGGTGGCTCACACCTGTAATCCCAGAACTTTGGGAAGCCAAGGCCGGCAGATCACCTGAGGTCAGGAGTTTGGGACCAGCCTGGCCAACATGCCGAAACCCTGTCTCTACTAAAAATACAAAAATTAGCTGGGCATGGGGGCAGGCGCCTGTAATCCCAGCTACTTGGAAGTCTGGGACGGGAGAATCACTTGGACCTGGAAGGCAGAGGTTGCAGTGAGCCAAGATTGCGCCACTGCACTACAGCCTGAGCAACAGAGCGAGACTCTGTCTCAAAAAAAAAGAAAGAAAGATATGAATATAGTATATGATAAAATATAAATATAATATAGTATGTGTTATAGTTTATGTAATGCTTTTAATATAAAATGGCAGATTATACATTATAAAATACCTTTTGTTCTGTGTAGCTATTTTAGAAATGCTCATTTTGCTCTAGTTTTTAAAATATTCTACAGTTCTCTTACCTGTATTTAACACAGAAGTTTAACATTTAATGGCTTCGTATAAATAGGAACTGAAGCCAGGTTACTTTCACAAGACGGTGGAAACAGGAAGTCCCTATGCTTTTGTTAAATTAAAAGTGTTCATAATTATGTCTCAGAGGAGCTGGTCATTAATTAAGGTTTAGGAAGTGCTTAGGGAGTTTCATAAGGAAATACTCCAAAGCTCACAAGCCCTGTAAGAAGGAAACCCAGATTTATGGCCAGGCTCAGTGGCTCATGCCTGTAATATTAAAAGCATTACATAAACTATAACACATACTTTGGGAGGCTGAGGCAGGTGGATCATGAAGTCAAGAGATCAAGACCATCCTGGTCAACATGGTGAAAATTAGCTGGGCGTGGTGGTCCGAACCTGTAGTCCCAGCTACTCGGGAGGCTGAGGCAGGAGAATGGCTTGAACCCAGGAGCTGGAGGTTGCAGTGAGCCGAGATCACACCACTGCACTCCAGCCTGGGCAACAGAGCGAGACTTTGTCTGGGGGTGGGTGGGATGTGGGGGAAGGAAACCCAGATTTGAAGAAATTTGTAGAAATGATAGTTAAACATTAATCTTGGTTATTTCAAATATTTATGTTTTCTTATCAATGTAGGGAAAAAAAAAAAGTTGAGGGATACAAAATTCACCAAGTGGACATCTGGCCAGGTGGATAGGTCTACCAGCTGAATGAAATTGGGCTCTCCAGTGATTGCTGGGAATTGTTGATGTCTAAAAACACCACCTCACCAGCAATGAACTTAAATCTTATCTGTTATGGGAAACAATTGTTTGGGAAGGGAGCTCAATTCAAGTTTTCTTCTTTTTAAATTTTCATGGAATGGCTCTAAAGGTTTTGTTTGTTTTCTTCTCTTTTCTTTTTTTTTGACACGGAGTTTCACTCTTGTTACCCAGGCTGGAGTGCAATGGTGCGATCTCGGCTCACCGCAACCTCAGCCTCCTGGGTTCAGGCAATTCTCCTGCCTCAGCCTCCTGAGTAGCTGGGATTACAGGCACGCGCCACCACGCCCAGCTAATTTTTTGTATTTTTAGTAGAGACGGGGGTTTCACCATGTTGACCAGGATGGTCTCGATCTCTTGACCTTGTGATCCACCCGCCTCAGCCTCCCAAAGTGCTGGGATTATAGGTGTGAGCTACCACGCCCGGCTGTTTATTTTCTTTTAATCAGAGAAGACATTGAGAAAGCAAATGAATGTTTAACTCTATTGGAACTAGGCCTTAAAAGAAAAGAGTAGCCAGTACAGTTGGCTCGTGCCTCTAATCCCAACACTTTGTGAGGCTGAGGTGGGAGGATGACTTTAGTCCAGGAATTCCAGACCAGAGTAGGCAATATAGGAAGATCCCCCTCTACAAAAAGAAAAAAAAAATAGCTGGACACGGTGATGGTGTGCCTGTGGTCCCAGCTACTTGGCAGGCTGAGGTTGCAGGATCACTTGAGCCCAGGGAGATAGAGGCTGCAGTGAGCTATGATCTCAATAAATAAACAAATAAATAAATAGGTGAAGATAAAGAAAAGTGCTCCCCCCCTTCTTTCCCTCCTTCCCTCCCTCCCTCCCTTCCTGTTTTTCTTCCTTTCTTTCTTTTTTTTAAACAAGTTCTTGCTCTGTTGCCCAGGCTGTAGTGCAGTGGTTTGAGCATGGTTCACTTCAGCCTCAACTCCTTGGGTCCAAGTGATCCTCCTACCTCTGACTCCTGAATAGCTGAGACCACAGGTGTTCACCACCTTCCCCAGCTAATTTATTTATTTATTTATTTTTGAGACAGAGTCTTGCTCTTGTCACCCAGGCTGGAGTTCAATGGAGCGATCTCGGCTCACCGCAACCTCCACCTCCTGGGTTCAAGCGATTCTCCTGCCTCAGCCTCCCGAGTAGCTGGGAGGCACATACCACAACACCCAGCTAATTTTCTTTTTGTATTTTTGGTAGAGACAGGGTTTCACCACTTTGGCCAGGCTGGTCTCAAACTCCTGACCTCAGGTGATCCGCCCACTTCAGCCTCCCAAAGTGCTGGGATTACAGGCTTGAGACATCATGCCTGGCCACGCGGCTAATTTTTTAAAAATTTTTTGGTAAAGATGAGGTCTCCTTATGTCATTGCCCAGGCTGATCTGGAACTCCTGGGATCAAGTGATCTTTCTGCCTCAGCCTCCCAAAAGTGCTGGGATTACAGTCATGAGGCACTGCACCTGGGTTTATTTTCGCCTATTTACATACCAATAATTTTTCACCATAGAAAATTGGAAAGATAAATTTTTTTTATTATACCACCAAGTGATGGCTACTGTTCACATTTTTCTCCTTGATAGATTATGCTCAGCAAGGGTATAAATTATGTCTCCACTATATATGGTTATATTTTAGTTTTTTCACTTTTTGATATCTCCTGAGGCTTTTCTCATGTCATCAAATATTTTTCTAATCTAAAATATGGTATTTGTCAACTGTTCCATGCAATCATACATCATGCAGCCATTTTTCCTATACAGGTGAAATCATACAGTAGATACCATTTTGTGGCTTGCTTCTTTTGCTCAATGTAATGTATTTTAGAGATTCATTAATACTGTTGCCTGTATCAGTAATTGTTTTTCTTTTATTAGCTGAATAGTAATCCACTCTGTGGATTATTATTGCTTTTGGGTAAAATATGTAAGAGTAGAATTACTGGGTCATACAGTAGATTATATTTAACTTCATGAGAAAAGTCCAAACTGTTTTCCAAAATAATTGTACCATTTTACTGTCCCACCAGCAATGTGTGAGAGATCCAGTTGCTCCCGACCTCGTCAATACTTGGTATTGGCAGTCTTTAATTTTAGCTATTCTGGTAGGCTGGTGAAGAGGTAAGTTAATATGGCTTTTTTTGCATTTCACGAAAGACTAATGTTGACAATCTTTTCATTGGCCATATATATCTTCTTATTATTGATGCCATCAAATCCCTTTCTAGAGAAGTTGTGCTAGTTTACAATTCTACCAACAGTGTTACCTTTTAAAAATGTTTTCTGGGCCAGGCACAGTGGCTCATTCCTGTAATCCCAGCACTTTGGGAGCCTGAGGTGGGAGAACCATTTAAGGTTAGTAGTTCAAGACCAGCCTGGCCAACATCATGAAACCCTGTCTCTAATAAAAATACAAAAATTAGCTGGGTATGGTGGCATGCACCTGCAGTCCCAGCTACTTGGGAGGCTGAGATGGGAAAATCACTTGAACCCAGGAGGCGGAGGTTGCAGTGAGGCAAGGTGGTGCCACTGCACTCCAGCCTGGAGAGCAAAGCGAAACTTTGTCTTTAAAAAAAAAGTTTTCCAATTTGTTATGTGATAAATAGCATCTTGTTTTAATTTGCATTTTGATTACTTTATTTGCATTTTTATTACTAATGAAGTTGAATATTTTTAAATTTTTAGTGCCTTATATTTTATATGTGATGAATTGCTTCTGATTGGCCTTTGCCCTTTCTTGTATTGTAAAGCTATTTTATTTAACAGGGAAAGTTCTTTACTAACCTGACCTATGAGATGCAAATATTTTCCTGGTTTTATGCCTTTTAATTTTGTTTATCTTTTTCATATAGTGAATTTTTTTTTTCATTTTTTTGTAGAGACTTGGTCTTGCAATGTTGCCAGCCTGGGCAAAAAATAAAAAAAAATAGCTGGGTGTGGTGGTGTACACCTGTAGTCTCAGCTACTCAGGAGGCTAAGGTGTAAGGATTGCTTGAGCCTGGGAGGTTGAGGCAGCAGTGAGCCATAATCATGCCACTGTACTCCAGCTTGGGTGAAGAGTGAGACCTTGTTCCACCCCCCTCAAAAAAAAAACGTAGATTCTGGAGTCAGTGTGGACAATAGATTGAGTGATCAAGACCAAAGGCTCAGGGACCAGTTAAGAGGCTGATGGAGCAGAGGGCTAGCCCCCATTCACTCCCAGCCTTTATGCCTTGAGAATAGCTGATTCTATTACTGAATTAGCTGAGATGGATTCCCATAGAGAGCAAGACACGTTCCTGGTGTCTGCCTCAAACAACCTGAAGCCTTTTGAAACCTCTACTAGGATGCAAAAGCAAGGCAAGGTGATGGGTGAAGGTTTCTGGTGGTCTCAGCTTATACAGAGCAACCTGGTTTCCAACCTGGTTTCCTCCCAGAGAAATCCATGGATTGAACTCCCTCTTCCAAAACACAGAGATAGAAAGTGAGGGGAACTATTAGAAGCAGTGCTGGACACAAGGGGTCCAGCTATCGGGAGACTGAGGTAGTGTTCCTGTAGTTCAATCTCTTCTCACAGAAAACTCTGGAGCCTGAGTTGTACCACGAAATTATTCTCACCTTGAGGCAGTTAGTCTGACCTGAAGGCGATGATAGCCATTGCTCCTAGGACCGAGGGAGGGACAGTCATAACTCCTTAGGGGAGGGGAGCTCCCATTCAACCTAAGGCCATTCTCTGGAGAAGGGGCAGCAATGAACCGTCAGCCACCAGGCCTCAAGAAACAGGCAGAGTATAGTAGCTCATGCCTATAATCCCAGTACTTTGGGAGGCTGAGACAGGAGGGTAACTTGAGCCCAGCAGTTCAAGCCTTCAGTAAGCTATGATGGCACCACTTCACTCCAGCCTGGGCAACAGAGCAAGACCTCCTCACTCTCTTAAAAAAAAAAGCAGCAGCAACCAGAAGATGGTTATCCCTCATGGTGAAGGGGATCTGGGCAGGGCACCCCAGCCAGGCCTATTAATATTATAATCCCCACATTACAGAAGAGGAAACCAAGGCCTGGGGAAGCGAAGGAACTTACCTATGCCCACAGCTGGAAATGATGGTATCAAGTATCAGGACTCCAAGTCCAAGCTTGGCCATTATAGCCTTGGTGAGCTGCACTTGGCCTTCTGGATGGTCTCCAGGAGCCAGAAAGTCTGAAGTAACCAGATAACCACAAAAAGAAGTGAAACAACTGGTTTCTGCTTCAACTGATTGCTCTTCCCCTGCAAACTTCAACCATTGTTCCTGCTCAGCCTTGCAGCATTTCCCCCTCCGGACATTGGGTTTCTCAAGACCCCCACCCCTGTAACTATGTAATTTACCTCACCCTCCCCTCTGCTTGCAAACCCTCACCCTTATGATCATGACTGTTTGTAATAGATGACCCCTACCCTTGTGACCGTGCATCCTGTGATGCCCTCCCCCTCCCTAAAATAGATCACCACCTTTAACTGACCACTTGCCCCAACCTATAACACCAACTCTTATCCCACTGCCCTCCACTGACTCTTTTCAGACTCAGCCTAACCACACCCAGGTGAATAAACAGCATGTTGCTCATACAAAGCCTGCCTGGTGGTCTCTTTACGTGAGCAACTCACCTAACATCAAGGTCTGTTGGAGCCGCTGTGGGTGTCACTGGTTGTTGCTATGGAAGTAGAGGACCAGCAAGGAACTGGGAGAAAGGCAGAGCTACTTAGTGAATCACCTTAGAAAGGGGTGGGGACATGAAGGGACAGGGCTGCAGTCAGTTTACTTACATTTACTTTGCTAAAGCCAAGCTACAAAATGACATCTGGATTCTGTAAATTCATGTATACCATCCCTGAGGACTCAATGCCCCATATTCCATATGTTGCCATAGAAAGGGTTCAGGTACTGCATGTCTCTTGATAATGATGGTGTTCACTAAGCTTCCTACCAGCTGTGTGACTGGGTAAGTTTCTTCACATCTCTGTGCTTCAGTTTCCTTATCTGTAAAATGGGGATAATCATATAAATGGGGTTGGTGTGAGGATTGAATTAGCTAGTATTTGTTTTTGTTTATTTGTTTTGTTTTTGAGACGGAGTTGCTCTGTGCCTAGGCTGGAGTGTGGTGGCACCATCTTGGCTCACTGCAAGGTCCAAGCTAGTCTCCTGCCTCAGCCTCCTAAGTCCCAGCCACCTAGGACTACAGGTGTCTGCCACCATGCCCAGTTAATTTTTGTATTTTTAGCAGAGATGGGTCTTCTCCACGTTGGCCAGGTTGGTCTCTAACTCCTAACCTCAGGTGATCCGCCCACCTCAGCCTCTCAAAGTGCTGGGATTACAGATATGAGCTACTGTGCCTGGCCTGGAATTTCTTAAACTTCATTTTTAGCTATCCTGTTGAGGTTCTTCCAGATGTATTTTAGCCTCTGACCTTTAGAGATATGATTTGATAGGCATGTAGTTCTGGTTACTTCTTAAATGAAGAACTTCCTCAGGTTATACGAAGAATTCTCTTGGGTGGAAGCCTCAAGGACCATGAAAACAAAACCAAGTTCTATTCAGCCCCTAAAGTCCTCTTGCCTCCTGCCGTTACCATCAAAGAGCTACAGTCAAAATTCCAACGGATAATTCAGGGTCCGATTCCAGTATTATATCCCCAGACCGCCTATACATAAATCTATAGATTTATACTATATTATTGGAGATTTACGCTTAATCCTATAATCTTTCAGCTAGGAGCTGTCCAATAGAATTTTCTGGATGACAGAAATGTCCTTTTCTGTGATGTCCAATAAGGTAGCCGCACTTAGCTCTTGAACACTTGAAATGTGGCTAGTCCCCTGGAGGAACGGAATTATTTAAATGTACATAGCCACACGTGACTACTCATTGGTCGCTGTGGTAATTAACACTGCTTTTGCCTGTAACTTGCATGTTTTGTTGCGCATCAGTTTCAATATTTCATTTGCATTGCTAAAAGTCAAAATCCTTTTGACTTTGCCAGGTACTACACTCATTGAGAGGGCGGTAGGAGCCAGTTTCTATTCTAGGTTTACAGTTTTAAGGACAGATATAGGTCAGTTTTTTTAACTTCGAGATGAGCAGATGGTTAACTCTCTAGGGACTTGCCCATGAGGTTCCACAGTCAGCCTGGGCCGGGGAGGCAGGGGTACTGTGTCAGGGGGGAAAAAGGGGGCCTTCTAGATGGGCAGGTGGCACACAGGACATAGGAGGATGTCAATTCCTGGGACCGAGGAGGTCCGGCCCGGGGGTCCCAGGAGCAGAGCTCTCCCTTCTCTGGGATGTGGAAAGGAAGTGAGGAGGCAGCAGGGTCTCGCTCGGAAACGGAGCTCCCCCTGCTACCCCGCCCTAGCGACTGGACTGTAACTAGGATGTACACGAATGTCCTTTCACTGTACCAACTGCACTCAACACGCGGGAAAGATGAACTGAGGGGGTTTAAATGTGCGGGTTTGGTCATTTGCCAAATGACCAAAGCTGAAGGACCGCGGCCGGACCGATCACACTCCTAGAGACAAAGGAGGTGGGAGACCCAGAGGTGAGGAGGGAGGCTGCTTGTGGGGGAGGCCTGGGAGGTCGGGGCTCTCGGCGACGGGGTCACAGGAGGCGGCGCGGAGCGGCTGCGAGGCCGTAGGGGCGGGTCGTAAGATGGCCGCGGCCGGGCCGGCCTCCCCGCGCGAGCCACGCGGACGGGTTTCAGGCGCTCTGGCCCGGGACGGCTAGGAGCGAAGGGGCCAACTAAGAAGAGGGCTGGCTGGCTGAGAAGGGAAAATGGGCGGTTGGCAGCGGGGACCCGCAGCCGGAGGAGCGAAGAAGCGCGCGTGCGCCGAGGCCGACCGCCTCCCGGGAAGGCGGAAGCGCGGGGAGGGCGGTGCTCGGTGCGGGAGGCCGGGTTCGGGTGGCCTGGTCAGCAGGGCGCGCGTTGGGCCTCGGCGCGGCGGCGGGGGCGCGCGCGCGGCCGCCGGGAAGTTGTGAGAGCGGCGCGTGGGGGCGCGCGTGCGCGCACGAGGGCCGGGACCGTGAGTAGCGGCGGCTGTCCGGGTCGCCTTCCTCAGCCGCGGTTGCGGTCTCTCCCGAGTCCGTGTTCCCGGCCTTAGCCTCTGGCACCTCGGAAGAGAGCGGCGGGTGGGCCTGCGTCCTGTCAGTGGCGTCTGAGGCCGGCGCTGCGGCGGCCGCGCCCTTCTGGTGCTCCGGCAGCGCTGAGGAGCCGGGGCCGGGCACTGCGGGCTGACGGCTCCGGGCAGCTGAAGCCGCCGGAGGAGAAGGCGGCGGCCGCGGCGAAGGCGCACGTCGGGCGGGCTCCCGGAGCGGGGAGGAGGCCTTGGGGACCATGTCCGGAAGGCGCTTCCACCTCTCCACCACCGACCGCGTCATCAAAGGTGCCTGGGGGACCGGGCTCTCCTCTGGGACCCGCGGGAAACGGCCCTCGACTGGGCGGCGGCTCGGGGCGGAGGGAGGCTGGGGCCGGGCTGCGCCCACCCTGGGAGGGCTCGGAGGGGTGTGGACAGGGCCGGGCGGCAGCCCGGGGAGCAGCGCCCCCGGACCCGGCATTTTCTGCTGCACCTGGCCCGGTGCCTGGCCGTCATTGCCAAGTTCCTTCCCGAAGCGTTCAGGGTGCAGTAGGGACTTCTCCCACCACCCACAAAGGGCCCAGATCCCTATCTTTTTTTTTCTCTTTAAGAAACGACTCTGGGGAAGCCATCTGGGGTGGTGTGGGCAGGGAGTTGAGTCGACTCTTCCAAGTCACATCTTTCCTTTAAGATTAGCTCTTTCTTGACACCCGCCCCCCACCCTTTCTTAGGACGTAAACCATGTGCCTTTTGACCCACTTTCTCTAGATCATTGTAAGTCACTGCCAATAGCCAAATAAACAGTATGGTGAAGTCAGATAAATCTGTTATATGATGTTTAAAATAAGTTTACAGAGCTCTCGACATGGTATTGGTATTTTATTTTCACTTTGGTTATAGAGGCTTGGAGAATGATGTTTTCTGATTCATATGTGTACCTGGGTTAGATTTCTGTCATTGTAAGAACAAAATGTAAAGTGCTCCTTCCGTTCTAAATCTTACGGGGTTGTAGGTTATAGTTGTTTCTGCCTTTAAGAACATGTATTAAACATAACCACTAATTTATGTGCTGCTTTTATTCAGCCATAAGACTTAGGCACAACCCTTCTCTCTGAGATTAACAATCGGGTTGAAAGCGCTATTTTGTAAGAAGGGAATAGACTTGGACCAGCTGTGTTAGTGGCCTTTGGATGCAGGGGTTAGTGTGACAGTGGGGAAAATTAGTAAAATACTTTCCTTCTTTTTCATTTTGGTATTAGAAGGAAAAAGGCAACTAAGATTGGTGATGGGAATACATTTTTAAAAGGTGAAACGCCTATTGCATGTTCAGGGAGGGGGAAGAATTTTAGTGTATAATTTAGATTTCCCCCCGTCTCAAATCAGCCTCATAAATGTTAATTATCTATACTACAAAATTATAATGGGATTTTTGAGATTTATCTACTTAGCATTTGTATGATATCATTAGACGTTTAACTGAATTGTTCATATAACTGACATTATCCCCTAAACAGCTAAATTATTTTGACCATTTACATGCAAGCCTTCATATTAATAGTGTATACCCTATAATAAGTATATAACCCTCTCTTAAGATTCAGAGTGTACTAAACATAACCTTTTTGAGAAATCAAGGTCATCATTATGTATATTAATTTCTGTACTGTGCTCTTAATATGGCCGGTACGTTCTGCTGTATAAGGGTGTTGGCAGTTTCATCCTATACTAAAATGACTCCACACTGCTATACCAACCAGTTCATTGTTTTGTCTGCTTTTAGTTTCTCTCTCCAGTACTGTTTTCTGTCAAAATATGCCCTTACTGCCTTCTAACCTGCTACTTTAAGCTGAAGGAGGCAGGGAAACCAGATAAGCCAGAACTGTGGGTCATCAGAATAAATAGGATCTTAGTGAAGCTTAATGGCAGCCCTCAGGAATCTCACAGTCTAATCACCATTGCACTGTGTAATTTCCACCATAGCATGGCATAAGATCAAAAGAAAATTAAAAAAATTAAATGACCCTTAAACATAGTAAAATAAAAATATAATAAAATAAAACTGTTAAAATGCAGGGGCTGGGAGCAGGTGTGGTAGCTCATGCATGTAACCCCAGCCCTTTGGGAGGCCCACATGGGCAGATCACCTGAGGTTGGGAGTTTGAAACCAGCCTGGCTAACATGGCAAAACCTCATCTCTACTAAACATACAAAAATTAGCTAGGCATTGTGGTGGGCACCTGTAATCCCAGCTACTCAGGAGGCTGAGGCAGGAGAATCACTTGAACCTGGAAGAAAGAGGTTGCAGTGAGTGAGCCCAGATGGTGCCACTGCATTCCAGCCTGGGTGATAGTGAGGTTCATGATTAAATAAACACCATCATCATATCCTGTAGGATGCAAATTTGTTCTTTACCAAAATGAATTTTTGTATATTGTGTACTTTTAAGACTGCTCTTAAATAAATGAAACAGAAATAATTTCAGGCCTTTAGAATGTGTGGATTTCTCTCCTATATATAAGGAGAGCCTAAGAGCCTGACCACAGAATTTGTGGCTTTATGGTGACTTCTGTTGCTTTTTTAAGGTTTTTCCAGAGTTTGAAATAGTTGAAGAAAATGAGGTGTCACTGTGTGCATAGCTAAGGTCCATTGGGTATTAAACCCTGGTCCAGTACTATGGTGTTTAGCCAGAGCTGTCTGCATTTATTCACAGCTTGAAAGCTTTTTCAGAGGTGATACCACACCCCAGTTTTTTTTATGGTTCTGTCATTTCCTGTTAACTTTAAAGGGTACCTAATTGTTTTGTTTGAGCAAATTTTGGAGAAGACTGGGTACTCGGGAGTGATTTGTATTTTAAGTGTCCTTTAAACAGCAGCTTTCTTAAGTTGAAAGACTTAGACTACTGGCCAGAAAATCTTGTTTTTACTCCTGCTTCTGGAACTCATTTGTGACCTTGCCTTTAAAAAAAAAAAAAAAGTTAAAAAGAAAAAAGTTTTTTAAAAACTTTTTTCTTTTTAACTTTTTTTGTTTTTGCTTTAATAATCTCATCTGTAGGCTGGACATAGTGGCTCACACCTGTAATCCCAGCACTTTGGGAGGCCAAGGTGGGTGGATCACCTGAGGTCAGGAGTTCGAGACCAGCCTGGCCAACATGGTGAAACTCTGTCTTTATCAAAAATACAAAAAGAAAAAAAATTAGCCAGGTGTTGTGGCGGGCACCTGTGATCCCACCTACTTGGGAGGCTGAGGCAGGAGAATCGCTTGAACTTGGGAGGCAGAGGTTGCAGTGAGCCAAGGTCGCACCACTGCACTCTACCCTGGGCGATAAGAGTGAAACTCAGTCTCAAAAAAAACAATCTCATCTATAAAATAAGGCTAATAATACCTTCCCTGTTTAGCCTGGGTCATGCAAATGGCATAAAGGATGTGAAAAGCTCAAGTTAAGGTAGTACTGTGAAACATGATAGTAGGTTGGTAAAAGACTGCTTACTACAGAAGTGGTTAGTAGAGAAACCATTACCATTTGAAAATATCAGCATTAGAAAGTATATGAAATTATAAGCTATGAAACTGTTCCTAGTTGGGAGAATACCTGTTCTACAACATCAAGGATATGTGGGTGAAATCTCATCAGTAACAATGTGAAGAGACCAGCACACTTCTGTCTGGTACTTACCAGGCAGTAGATTTCTTCTCTATCTGTTGAAGGTGTTTATGTTTAAACATTCTTATGATTTTGCTCATTCATTAAATGTTAAGTGAGTGCCATCTGCAGTTACCCTAGTAGGTTGCTCATTCATTTCTTCTTTGCTTTAAAAGTAGCATTTCTCTGAGTCTCTAGAGCAGTTTGTATGCATTGGGTCACCACTAGTGGTATCTGGACCGGGGAACTAGGAACTCAGATGATTAAATTGTGGTTTTCTTTCTGCTTTCCTTTTTTTTCTAGTTTCCAAGTTTCTTTTCCTGTTTGAGGACTTATTTTTTCTTTGACAGTGATTTTTATAAAAGCAGTTTTTCCCCTAGAATGAATCTTTTCAGAAGCAACAAGGAAATTTCAGTAGGAATTACATGATTAATATAGAGAATCTGTTGTCTTAAGTTTATTATTTGATGGCTATATGGGGTTTAACAGAAAAGTCAAATTTCTTTTCAGTAAGGTGCTGATACATTTCTCCCTTTCTCTTAGAATTCAGATATATTGTGCATTCA